AATGAATGTGGATGTCAGGGTAAAAAAAAAAAAAAAAAAAAAGTATACATCTCTGATACGTGCACATCATAGATGTTGATCTACCAAAAATACAATATGCTCCTAACTTCCTCTTTGGGCCGACAACGCAATCCCATTTCTGCTTTTCTGTACTGAAATACCAACCAATAATGTCAGCCTACCTGCAGGACTACACAACTTCACCTATCCCTCCACCCCCCTCCACATACATACTTGGATTTTCTTTTTTTTTTTTTCCCTGCGAGCAATCGATGCAAATTCTTGCTTAATTCACCACCACAAGCCTCTGCATATTTATCGCAGTCATTGTGCTGTCTGATTTTCCTAACTGATTTGCAAATCCCGTACATAACATTAGTCCTGGCTGGGCTGGCCCTATGCGATTAGTCTAAAATCTTCTAGTAAGAGGATAGAATAAAAGTTAAACTGGCTAATGAGAACATATTAAAGTACATTTAAGATCCACTTCACACAGGGCGGATTCCGTTCTGATCAGCAGGGGATCTGTGAGCTGATTCAGTGCTGATCAGAGCAGAGCGGGTGGATGACAGGTCTGTGCCTGCTCAGATTATGCAGACAGGACACGGAGAGACCCCATTCTGCTTGAGTGGCCAGTTGTGCATGAATTCCGCTGTTGACAAATTTCCCCACGAATCATTATCACTCAATTCTGCAAGTGGTTCTAATTTACCATCGCTGTTCTCTAGCTGGTCTAAAACCGATTTGGACCTAAAGGGATGCTTTTTGGACACCATGGACATTTCTCAGTTTCCAGGCAATAAGAACAGTAAAAATGCAGGCAGGGCACAGGACAAAGCACTCGGGACAAAATGTATGTGAAATGGTTTGATACAAGAATGTTTTACTATGTGATTTTAGTGTATTTAGTGAATGTCACTTTTTGTCATTTTCAAATTTCCCGCTGTTCCGTCCCCCGTACGTCCCAACGTCGCAGGAAACGGAACCCAGAAGACAGATGCCGGCATCCGCCGGAGAACATTGCCGGGGACACTGCAGGAGGGACATCATGGGAGCGCAGGACAAGGTAAGAGAAGAACAGATCTCGGAGCAACGCTGCATGGTAAACCCGAGTGTAGCTCGGGGTAACCGCTTGTGATACTGAAACTTTACCCCGAGCTACACTCGGGAATACCGCCAGGGAGGTTGTTTTGGATTTTATATACAGTGGGGATCGAAAGTTTGGGCACCCCAGCTAAAAATTTGTATTAATGTGCATAAAGAAGCCAAGGAAAGATGGAAAAATCTCCAAAAGGCATCAAATTACAGATTAGACATTCTTATAATATGTCAACAAAAGTTAGATTTTATTTCCATCATTTACACTTTCAAAATAACAGAAAACAAAAAAATGGCGTCTGCAAAAGTTTGGGCACCCTGCAGAGTTAATATCTTGTACTGCCCCCTTTGGCAAGTATCACAGCTTGTAAATGCTTTTTGTAGCCAGCCAAGAGTCTTTCAATTCTTGTTTGAGGTATCTTTGCCCATTCTTCCTTACAAAAGTCTTTCAGTTCTTTGAGATTTCTGGGCTGTCTGTCACGCACTGCTCTTTTAAGGTCTATCCATAGATTTTCAATTATGTTGAGGTCAGGAGATTGTGAAGGCCATGGCAAAACCTTCACTTTACGCCTCTTGATGTAATCCCCCGTGGATTTCGAGGTGTGTTTAGGATCAATATCCATTTGTAGAAGCCATCCTCTCTTTAACTTCAGCTTTTTCACAGATGGCATCAAGTTACCATCCAAAATTTGCTGAAATTAGCTGGGGTGCCCAAACTTTCGATCCCCACTGTATAGTGTTTGCACTAAAGGGGCAGCTTCTATTGATTCTATTATAGATATCAGGTTGGCGCCTCTTTCATGCATAATTTTTTTTAATTTTAGGAATATGTCAGATTGAACCTTCCTGCACCACTACAATTATCCCTGCTCCATAGAGCAAAACAGTGTTACGTCAAACCCCAATAATTATGAAGTGGTTCAAAAGGCTGGTCATGACACACATAGTTATTTTACTTACAGAAGACTTCAGGGTGGACACCCATCAGTATGCATGCAGAAAAAAACGATCCACTGCACATGCTATCTCATACTTCAAGTAGGAGCCAGGTGACCTACCCATAAGGATTAATATGTAGACTGATTTTTTGGATTTTATTTTGGCCTTTAATACTAGAATGCATTAGAGTAAAAAACTTTGAGCCTTTAGAATCACTTTAACCATCAGTCCATTACCATGAAAGAAGACAAAGGAGAGGATTGTAGACTCTGTACATCATGGTGAAGCTGTTGAGATGGTCCATTGCTTTATTATCTGGGAAGGGACATCTCTGATAACTTCACCGGGAGCATCAATAAAGTCAGCATAGAGAAGCTTGGTACCTTATACCGGCCATACATGTATAGATTTTTTGTTTGAAATGTTTAATTCCAAGAATGTTTTTTCAAGCTTGTAATTAATGGGGTCAAATTTGAAGGAACAGAAGGGAAAATCTCTCTTGATTGAACAAATTTTCAGACAGTGTATGTGGTTTCAATTCAGAAATTGCATTCATTTTAAAATTGAATGTTAGAAGCAAGTGAACCACATTCGTCCGATCACCAAATGTACAAAGCATTATCATATGAATATTCTTGTCTGAAAATCTATACGTGTATGGCCAGCAATAGTCCCCATCTTATTTTATAGATGTATGGTGGAGAGCATCTTTACTTCTTGTATTATCATTTACTACTGCAATTGCTCTGCTGTGGAAAAAGGGGCATTGTAGTGGGCGGTAAAAACTGCCCACAGGATTATGGGCAGAAGTCAGTTGGAAGTTACGCAGCATTAGGGATAGAACCACCAGGCCGAAGAACACTTTTTCAAGATTGACAAATTCTGCAGCTGTAGCCCAAAGAAATATCTAATCTCCTCTCAGTCCACAACATATACAGTATATGAGCAATCTAAAAAAACATTGTAATAAATGTGACAATGTATCTAAAGTGGAACTAAAGGCAACACTTTTTTTTCTCCTTTGGCTAGCGTCCATCTGTGTCCCATTGGAGAGATTTCCCTTCACTTCCTGTCCCATAGTCAAAACAGGAGTTAGAGAAAATCCCTCCAAAGTGAGAAAATCTGTGGTTGTCACAAAAACCAGTGTCCCAATTGAAAAATTTCCTCCCCTTTCCAGTTCTAGTAACAACCCAGTATATGTTGTGGACTGAGAGGATATTAGATATTTCTTTGGGCTACAGCTGCAGAATTTGTCAATCTTGTTTGCGATTTTCTTTCACTTTTGGTGATGATGGTAAACAGAACAAATGGGAGCACAGACATCAAACACCTGATAGATGTTCTAAGCCCTCTCCAGTCTATCTAAAATTAAAAGAAGAAAAAAAAAAAAAAGAATGGCCTTTAGTTACACTTTAGAAAAAGAGGGAAAGGATGTTTGTGTGGACATTCAAAAGTGACTACAACATCTGAAGAGGAGTCTAAAACTTGATTTTCATGAGATTTCCAGAGCGACTATGTATTGTGACTTGCTTGCGACTTTGATCCGATTTCAATGGGACTTTACTCATACAAGTTGCATCAGCATTAGATAAGCAGCAATTACTATTTTATAATAATTTTTTTTTAACCCTTCCCTTTTCTCCCAGGCCATCCTTGCTGCCTGAAAACTCTCCCCCCAAGCACATTCCAATCACAGCTGAGCATTGAGGAAAAATGCGTTCCTGCTTGCAGTTTTTTTTGAGCATTTCTCAGACGTAGACGCTCGTCGTGCATAGGGCAGCCTATTCACTTTAAAAAGGCTGAATAGGTCTCCCTATGCATGATGCACACTTACTAAAAAAATGCAAGTGGGCGCACACATTTCCACTGTGCCCAGGTGTGAATGGAATGTGTACGGGAGAAGAGTTTTTAGACAACAAGGATGACCAGAGAGGAGAGATGAGGGATAAAAAAAACCCCTAAAAAAAAAAAAACAAGCTTATCAAAAGTTACATAGGAACGGCTTCTTATCTAATGCTGGTGCAACTTCTGTGAGTTTGCTTAGAAGTCCATAGAGCTGAAATCGCACTGGAGTTGCACCAAAGTAGTGCAGGAACCTTTGTCAAAGTTGCACTGAATAGGGCGGGCACCATTGAAAACAAGAAAAAGAGAGGAAGGCGCCTCTAAGTGCAGTATTTTGAAAACAATCCGACTTCCCTCGTCATGCGATTCTGTGCAACTCCAGTAACATCAGAAGTTGCACTAGTGTGAATTGAGCCTAAAACAGACTTCATGGACATTGTCTTCACTTGTTTTGAATCACTGTTGCAAGTCTGATGGATGCACTAAATATGAATGAATATTTAAAAAAAAAAAAAAAAAAAAAACCAACACATCATGTGAGCGATCCTCAGGCCGGAGACAACTTGCCAACATTAGGATCACTAGGAGACAGCTTACTGTCTCTATGGAATCAGATCCTGGGCCAGCAAAGGGTCTCTCTTCCCTTGCTATCAATGGAGATTTGATAACATTTGGGGCAAGTGAGGGAGCAAGATTTCACAAAGGCAAGAGGAGTGCCCTCCAATGGTTCACCTGTGTGACATCAGCATTAGTTCGGCGAAACTGTTTAACCAGGGGCGGACTGACAACTCATGGGGCCCCCGGGCAATAGGGGATCATGGGGCCCCTGTGTCCTCGCCCACACTCAAACTACACCCAAAAAAGCCTATGAAAAAGGTACCACGGGCATCTCATGGGGCCCCCTACTGACCCCGGGCAATGCCCGAGTGCCCAAATGGTCAGTCCGCCCCTGTGTTTAATGTTATAAGAAAAGTGCTAATAAGAAAACAACAAGAACAAAAGGAAGAAACAGTAGTGACTCCCCTACTAGCACACAAGTCAAGCTCCCCAGCCTACTAGAACATAAAACACATTGGCATTTGGCATTATGCCTCTGGTTATAAAGAATTTAAAGGTAAAATTCAAAACCACAATTTAACTTTATAGATGATTCTAAGTAGGCCAGAGGCTGCTACCTTAGTATTTGTGAAAAACATATTTACCTGTGCAGAGGCATTAAGAAGGCCAGAGGATGTGCCCTCCGACTCTGGGTAGGTGATTTCAACAGCAAACTCAAATCCCAGAGGAAGATATCCAGTCATAAAGAATCTGATGGTAAAAAGAAAATGTGTTATCCGCCTGCATAGGTTTTGACTCCAGCAAGTAGAAACTAATCAGTGCTAAAGCCAAAGTTTAATCTTCATTTATTATGCCTTTCCTGGTTTCTTTCCCCCTCCATTAACATGCTAGTGATATTTCAACATAAAACCTGTTTTTACTACAAACCTCACTTTAGACTTAGTAATGTCATTGCTCTGTGCTTCTCTATGCAATGCAGGCAGATCATGGAAGGTGGGAGGGGTCGGCAGGGTGCTGTACATTATTTCCTGAATACACCACAGCACCCCACTTCAGTACTCCTCTCAATAGCCCTTAGCCCTGATGCAAACAATGGTGTGGCTCTTGGTAGGAGTTGTGCAATTATCAAAATGCCTTGATAGATGGATGTCAAACTGGAGAAGTGGGTGTTCCTAGGCAGACTGAATTTACATGCAGACTGTGCTAGGTAATGCCCACATGCGATACGGAGCCTCCAGGAACGATATGAATGAATAAAACTGAATGACCAAGGAATGTGCAAAGAAAAGTGAGGTTAGGGAGGAAAGTGCTAGATGATGCTGGTCAAACTTCAGCCAGGAAACAGTGTTTTGGACACTCAGAAGTGTCAGGCGCAGACAAAGCAAGCATAGCTAATTAACAGGGCAAATATACACCTTTCTGCACAATTATATTCATTTAGGTCTGAATTGTCATGTTTTTTGCCTAGGTACAATTAAGTCTCTTAAAAGTGTGGTTCTAGCCCCCTAGCCGTGCTGACTACATCCTCCACACCGATCAAGCTCCCTAACAGTGTACACAGTGATGAACGTCTCTTGTGCCAAGAGACCTGTGTACCTAAAAAGCTGTACTATATCCATTGCACATCGGGGGGGGGGGGGGGGGGTATTTTGGGCGAGTGTGGGGTGCGGCACACTGCCTTGAACATGTAGCATTCTATCCCGCAGTAAAGTGTGTGTGTGTGTGTGTGTGTGTGTGTGTGTGTGTGTGTGTGTGTGTGTGTGTGTAGGATAGGCTTCCCTGAAGAGATAGGTTTTCAGAGATCGCCTTAAAGTGAGCAGAGTAGGCAATAGTCTGATAAATTGGGGTAGAGAGTTCCAGAGGATGGGGGAAGCTCTGGAGAAGTCCTGGAGATGAGCATGGGAGGAGGAGACAAGGGAGCTAGAGAGCAGGAGGTCGTGCGAGGAGCAGAGAGGATGGTTTGGGTGATATTTAGAGACAAGATCGGTGATGTAATTTGGGGCAGAGTTATAAATGGCTTTATACATTATTGTTAGTGTTTTGAATTTTATCCGTTGGGCAATGGGAAGCCAGTGGAGGGATTGGCAGAGAGGGGTGGCAGATACAGAACGGTTAGTAAGGTGGATGAGTCTGGCAGCAGCAATCATGATAGACTGAAGAGGGGGATAGCCTGCGATGAGGTAGGCCAATGAGGAGGGAGTTACAAAAGTCAAGGCGAGCTATAACAAGGGAGTGAATAAGTTGCTTAGTGGTTTCCAAGGTTAGGAACGGGCGTATCTTGGAGATGTTGCGGAGGTGAAGTCTACAAGAGTACCTGGAGGAAACCCACGCAGGCACAGAACATGCAAACTCCAGGCAGATGGTGTCGTGGTTGGGATTCGAACCAACAACCCTAGTACTGCCAGGCAGATGTGCTAACCATTTAGCCACTGTGCTGCCCACATCAAAAGTAATGGCGCCTGTGCACAGGATCATGAGTTGGACCCCACGGTAAAAAGTGAGTGTGGTTTTTGTGGTGCTGAATATTGGCCATGGCTAAAAAAAAACAGAAGCAGAGTGCAGGGGCTCAGTAGTAGAAGCAAATCGTATCTGCACCATTAGCACTGCAAATGCATAACAATAATAACATAACATTAGAGTGATGAAATTATACAAATAAAGTCCATTCCACTAAAGATCAGAAAAAAGTATAAGATACAATGTAAAAGTCTAATGTTTTTAGCGGTATCACGCTGCTGGTTCTCTGTTTCCTTCCCTGTGGGGGGCGGTTATGGTTTGTGGAGATTCCCTGCTGAGTGTGCTTGTGTTTTCCTGATGTCACAACTAATACTCAGATAAGCCATTCACTCTGGTGAGTGTCAGTGGATTGGGGGAGTTTGTTTGGAGCAGGAGGTGTTGTGGAGCAAAGTCTGAAAGCATCTTACACTTATTGAAAAGTTATACATTCACTTGGTGTACTGATTGGGAAGATGGACTTAGAACACTATTGCTTACGGACTTTTACATTGTATCCTGTACTTTTATTCTGATCTTTAGTGGAATGGACTTTATTTGTATAATTTCATTACTCGTTATGTTATTATTGTATACACAGGGGATTAGGGATGGGCCGAACAGGGGCGGACTGACCATTTGGAAACTCGGGCACTGCCCAAGGGCCCAGGGTCAGTAGGGGGCCCCATGAGATGCCCCTGGTACCTTTTTCATAGGCTTTTTTGAGTTTGGGAAGGACACAGGGGCCCCATGATCCCCTATTGCCCAGGGGCCCCATGAGTGGCCAGTCCACCCCTGGGGCCAAAACATATCAGCCAAAAATAGCCCTATCGGCATGATAGTCAAAAGTGAGCCGATGAGAGACCTGGCCCCAATGAGGGAGGACTGACTATTTGGCTGGGGAGTCTAGGGGGGCTGTGTGTACTGCAGATGGGGGGGGGCGGCGGAGAAAGGCAGGAGAGAAGGTAAGCAGTGTATACAGTGAGGGAGCAGTGTATACAGTGAGGGAGCAGTGTATACAGTGAGGGAGCAGTGTATACAGTGAGGGAGCAGTGTATACAGTGAGGGAGCAGTGTATACAGACAAGCTCCCTCACTTGCCGCCACTAAATGTCATTGCCGGTTTTTAAATGCAGTTGCTGGCTTTTTTTCACTTTATGGCTCTGAAAAGGAGCTGTAATTCTCCCCACCACTAAAGTAAACAAAGGGGTGGGCTCACCCAGTGACATTACCTAGTGACCCTGCAACTTGTTTACTTTAGCAGCCGGGAAATGACAGCTCCTTTATGGAGCTATAAAGGGGAAGAAAAAAAAAAACTGGCAATTGCATTTAAAAGCTGGCAATGACATTCAGTGGTGGCAGGTAAGAGAGGATCTGTATACACTGCTCCTCTTCTGCCCCCTCCTTGCACACACTGCCCCCCCCCCCCCCTACAAAGAGGACCTGTCACTTATATGCCATCACAGAGGGGACTATCGGTCCCCTATGTGATAGCAATAAAATCATAAGTTAAAAAAAAAAAATCCCAACCACGGCACCACCTGCCTGGAGTTTGCATGTTCTCCCTGTGCCTGCATGTGTTTCCTCTGGGTACTCCAGTTTCCTCCCACTCTGCAAAGACATGCTGGTAGGTTAATTGGATCCTGTCTAAAATGGCCCTAGTATGTGTATGTATGAATGTACGTTAGGGACCTTAGATTGTACGCCCCTTGAGGGTTAGGGACTGATGTGAATGTATAATATATATGTAAAGCGCGGAGTAAATTCATGGCACTATTATATATTATATATATATATATATATATATATATATATATATATATATATAAAAAAAATAAATTTGAGCCTCCCCACCCCCAGATACACAGACATTTTGGTTTTCTGTCTAAGTGCATCCTGAATTTTCGGATTCGGCACCAGAATTTTCATTTTGGTACACCACCAGTGCAGATAGTTTCAGTTACGGTGCAGTTTTACATTCATGCATCTTAAAGCAGCAGCATTTCCATTTAGCAGGAGAGTTCACCACAGTATTTTATTTGGGATTTGTAGGACATTTCAGAAAATTTTAGTTTTTCACATATTTGGATACGTTATTATTTAATTTAATATACACTTAACGGCCACTTTGTTAGGTGCAACTGTTCAATTGCTTAGTAACACAAATTGCTAATCAGCCAATCATATGGCAGCAACTCAATGCATTTAGGCATCTAGATGCGGTGAAGACGACTTGCTGAAGTTCAAACTAAGCATGTGAATGGAGAAGAAAGGGAATTTAAGAGACTTTGAATGTAGCATAGTTGTTGGTGCCAGATGGGCTGGTCTGAGTATATCAAACTGCTGATCCACTGTGATTTTCACACACAACCATCTCTATGGTTTACAGAGAATGGTCCAAAAAAAGAGAAAATATCCAGAGAGTGGCAGTTGTGTGGACAAAAATGCCTTGTTGATGTCAGAAGTCAGAGGAGAATGGGCTGACTGGTTCAAGATGATAGAAAGGCCTATATGGTAACTCATGCCAATATGGACCAAAATCTCTGAGAAAAGTTTCCAACACCTTTTTGAATCTATGCCATGGAGAATGAAGGCAGTTCTGAAGGCAAAAGGGGGTCCAACCTGATACTAGCAAGTTGTACCTAATAAAGTGGCCGGTGAGTGTGTGTACATCACATCCTTTTGGTATTGAATTTTTTGATCATTTAGGTCACTTAATTGTGTGGTGATTGGTGGTTAAAGTAGAAGCAGATTGTAGCGGAATCAGCAGCGGCACCGCTTTTAATGCGGCACCTGGGGCACGTCACCCCCTCCCCAGTATTGGCCAATGCCAAACAGAACTTGCAGAAACTCTGCCTTGCGCACCCAGCTGAACTGAGCATTGCCACTAAAGCAGGCCATAGACGGGGCGAAAAGCGGGCATTTAAAAAAAAAAAAAAAAAAACACGAAAAATCGGTCGTTCAATCGGCCGACGTTGCCACCATTGGTAATTAAAAAAAAAAATAGGCTGATTTTCGTCCCATCTACGGCCGACAAATATAATAGTGGCATCCTTGCAGAGAGCTCTGCTATTATATTTGACATTTAAAAGTATAGCAAAGTTGCAACATTGTATCTATTTGAATCCATTTCGGATACAGATGTTTCTATTCGGATACAAATAGATCCAATGTTGCAACCGCAATACTTTTAAATGTCAAATATAATAGCGGAGCGTCCCTGCAGGGACACTCCGCTATTATTTTTGACATTTAAAAGTATTGCGGTTGCAACATTGGATCTATTTGTATCCGAATAGAAACATCTGTATCCGAAATGGATACAAATAGATACAGATGTTCTTTTTCTTCTTCTTTTCCTTCTTCTTGCAGGTCACAGCTCATGCGCATTTTTTTTTAAAAATGCGCATAAAAAGATCGGTAAAAAGATCAGCCGATTTGCCCATCATTGCCGTGAAAATCGGCTGATTGACAAAATCGGACGTTTTTTTTCCCAACATAACCGATTAAAAAAAGTGTCAAAATCACGAAAAACGGCCGACAAATTCACCCACTAACGATCCGAAAATCGGCCGATTATTCTTTCGGACAAATTTTCGACCCATCTATGGCCTGCATTAGTCTTCATTTACAAACCAATCGGAAAACACACTTACCCAAGAACGCCACCTGTCACAAAGACCACTATGAGATTCCCCAGGTCCAGTGTAAACGTGAAGACCAGCATCCCAATAAACGACAAGATGTACACAATAAGAGTCGTTTGTCTGTAAAGAAAGCCTACAGTTAAGGAAAGTTATACGCCAAGGTATTTTTTTTAAAATAGGATTTATTTTTGTATCCATTAAAGGCCAAGTTCACCTTTTGGAACAGATTATATGTTCCACCTGTATTTAGGGTGGAACATGTAACAAGATCCAGCTTCTGCCGCCATTTCCTGTGAAAACAGTTAGGGTTCATCTCCCCGCAGCCGTTGTCACTTTTGAAAGAAAAAAAAAAAAAAGCGCCTGTGTAAGCTCCACCCACACAGCCACGTAATTTATTCACAGTTTTCCTGTGAATGAATGAACTACAAGTACCGTCAACCACTGCAGTTGATGGCTTGTAGTTGTGAATGAACTGTGACGGCGCTGAAGAGTGCTCTCATCATTCATTCACAAGCCCTGCAGCTTTCAAATAGACAGCCCGTCTGAAGGTATGAGCTGAGAGCTGAACAGCTTGTCTGCAGAAGGCGAACACTGCACCCCGATCCACAGATGAGGGGTGAAATGCTTTTCAGGCTCTTGAAGGAAAAAATAACACATGCACATTTATTTGCCTGCAAAAATATGTGCATTTACTATTTTTTTTCTCTAAAGGGGAACTTATCCTTTACCCCCGGTTCACATCTATGCGGGTGGTGCTGCTGCGGATCCTCACGAAAATCCGTGCAGCCGCACCACCCGCACAGTGAAATGCGGACCCGTGGGAGGGTGCCATTAGTTCGCACTGGAAAACGCAACTGTACTGGGAACCGAGGTTCCCCTGCGGGCTGCGTTTTCCAAAGAAGTGCAGGGATTTCTTCCCCGCGTGTCACAGGCACGGGAGTCCATTCAAATGAATGGGCTCTTGTGCCCATGCAAAACGCGGCCCGCATGGCCGCATAGATGTGAACCTAGGGTCAAGCTTTTGTTGTGAAGGTTTACATGTGCAAATGCCAAGCTGCCACCTTCCACAATAGCACACGTGTAAACAGCTTCAACATTAAGATAGCAAAACATTAAATAGAATAGGACAATGGCGTTAGAGTCAGACAAGACACAAGGGGTAGAGGTATGGTAGAGGGTGGAGCTGGATGGGGGAACAAGGAGGGATTGGGGTAAAGGTGGCTGGGGTGGGCACCAATGTCCTAGTATACAACAGACTTGTAATACAATTGTATATTTCATTAAATCTACTGGAACTACTTATCCAGGTGACTATTGTGTTTTAGATCAGAAGACTCAGGTGAGCTGTAAATACTCCTTAGAGGCTTTAAACTTTGTGCAGGAGGACCATATGCTTAGGTCAGCGGTCGTATGACTGCACTGTCCTTAGGTTAGCTCTTCCAAGAGTGTACTTTGTTCCATTAGATTTAAAGGGAGGTGTCTGCAGTTGTTTCTAATGTTGTGCTAGGTTAGATTTAGCACCATATATGAGATTGGGAAGTATGATCTGCATAGAACTGTGAAGCAATGAAGGCAGAAGTGTTTTTGCTTCTTTTTTTAAATGTTGATCCTCTCAGTGGATCTGTTTTTCCACTTCTTGCTGTCCAGTCTGCAGCAAAATCATGCAGCAATGTTGTCATTCTGTGCAAAGGGTAGTCTTAGCTAGCCATGTATTTATTTTTGAATCTACTTTTAGGAGGAACTTCACCCCCCTCTTTTTTTTTTATTAATCCCTTCAACTTTGACGAGTTGTCCTTCATAAACACACCCACATTTTTGCCGAATCTAGCATTACTTTGCAGTACCCGTCATTTTCCTACTGCCCACCTTTTCCTGTGCTGCCATCTTCCTCTTTTACATCATCTGGGAGCAGACTGTCTTTCTGGTTTTTGTAGCCAGCCCCCCTGATAACTGCATCAAAGTCTCCTAGGGGACGAGTAGTCCAGAAAAAGTGGGTCCAATTTTAAAACTTAAAAGCATAAAATAAAAGGTGAGCGCTATATTATAGAGCAGCTGGGACACCAAAACGGTACCAAAAACAACCTCTCATAATCAAAGCATAAAATCAAGGTGCAGCGCTTGCATAAATATCATTAAATTGAGAAATTATCCAAGAATATGAATCATTTGTATATGTCAATCCAATAGTGTGAAATGGGATAAAAACTGTAAAAGTATAACAAATGATCACTCAACAAAGTAAAGATTTGTGCGTCAAGTGCCAAAACAGTCCACATATATTAAACAAATGTGAAGTCTAATAGTGAGAGATCAGATTTAGGAGTGATACCTTTCTTTATCATCTGGTGACAATCAAGTAATAAAATTGCACACTCACCAGATGCGCAATTTCATTGCGCATTTGATAACACAGAAGGTCAGTTGGAGCGTCTTATGGGGCCTCTATAACCTGGTATGGATTCCTCCCTGGATAGATCATAGATGGCAGCAACTTCCCTCTCCTTCTCATGAGACTCTGTCTCAGCTGATGCTGGACCTTGGACCGTTGTCACCCTCACCTCTCCACACGTGACAGAGTCTCATGAGAAGGAGAGGGAAGTTGCTGCCATCTATGATCTATCAAGGGAGGAATCCATACCAGGTTAAAATGACGCCCCATAAGACGCTCCAGCTGACCTTCTGAGATATTGTGTTATCAAATGTGCAATGAAATTGCGCATCTGGTGAGTGTGCAATTTTATTACTTGATTGTCAACAGAAGATAAAGAAAGGGATCACTCCTGAATCTGATATCTCACTATTAGACTTCACATTTGTTTAATATATGTGGACTTTTTTGGCACTTTTTGCACGAATCTTCACTTTGTTGAGCGATTGGTTATTTGTTATACTTTTACAGTTTTTTTTATCCCATTTCACACTATTGGATTGACATATACAAATGATTCATATTCTTGGATAATTTCTCAATTTAATGATATTTATGCAAGCGCTGCACCTTGATTTTATGCTTTGATTCTGGAAGGTTGTTTTTGGTACCGTTTTGGTGTCCCAGTTGCTCTATAATATAGCGCTCACTTCTTACTTTTATACAATTTTAAAACTGTCAGAAAAAAGGGGGCGGAGAGCTAAAGTTACAGTGAGCTCATTGAGGAGAGCTCTGAAATCTGATTGGAGTGAAGAGACACCCCCCCCTTCACACAGCACACACAGAGCTGAGGAAGTCAATCTGCTTGAGCTCCCTCCCCTGTCACCATTTTAGTGTCTCTTGGTGTCAGGAAAAAACTTCTCAGAAATGATTCATACAGATAACAGAGGAAGGAGGCAGCACACAGAAATGACACTTCGTACTCTAGATAGAGACAAATACACACTATAGGGGAATATGCTTTTGTTCATATTTCATGTCAGAGGTTTACAACCACTCTTGGTAGGGGACAAACAAATTAAAGACAAACTCCAGTTGCTGCTTTTTTGCAGCTACAGCAACAGGTTTTTTTTTTTGGAAAAAAAAAGTTTAAATCATAGGAATAAAAGCTGACCACTGAAAACACCCCAGGCAGGGTTATATAGTTAACCCTGGTTTCCCCTAACCCCTGTAACTGTCAACCATGTCATCACTGCATGTAAAGCTGAAGCAAAATATAAATACGATCTACTATCATTGCAGGTATACAGGTATTACATCTATACAGTTACCAGAACACAATACGTTTGCTTCAGTGATCCTTTAAAGTTTATAACAAACAGTCTTAAGAAAGACACCATTGGTGTTGAATTACTGTATTTACAATCAGGTATCTACTCATTGGGGACAATTTACTAAAACTGGAGCACTCAGAATCTAGTGCAGCTATGCATGGTAGCCAATCAGCTTCTAACTTCAGTTTGTTCAATTAAGCTTTGACAATAAAACCTGGAAGCTGATTGGTTTCTATGCAGAGCTGCACCAGATTTTGCACTCTCCAGTTTTAGTTAATAAACCCCACTGCATATGGGCAGAGAATGGAGGTAAAAGTGTACATGGACCACAGTGGTGGAAACAGGTTAGAGGTTGTGTTTACCTACTTGTAAGTTTTAGTATAATCCAGCCACACTCCACAGATGACAGAGCCAACCATTCCAGCTATGACCAGGGTGAGCCCAATCCGTCCTGCGTTTACTTCTTCCCCCTGTCAGCAATATCACCCAGACAGATTAGTGCCTGTGTCAGTCTCATTCATCATCAGGCTAAGACCAGCATATCCAGACTTAAAAGTGACACTAAAAGAGATCGTTCCAAATATAATCCATACACATCTCCGACTTGCTGTTAGCCCTGTAATTATTTTTCATGAAATCTGTCTATTGTTGAGCACACATTGCCCAATTTTAACACAGGACTGATAATTGTCATAATACTTCATTCTATCTATGTATCTACAAATACATACAGTGAAGGAAATAAGTATTTGATCCCCTGCTGATTTTGAATGTTTGCCCACTCACAAAGAAATGATCAGTCTAAAAATCGATTGGTAGGTGTATTGTAACATTGAGAGACAGAATAGCAACAAAAAATTCAAAAGAAATGCATGTCTAACAAATTATGCAGAAATAAGGGAAATTAAGGAAATAAGTATTTGATCCCCTATCATTCGGCAGGATTTCTGGCTACCAGGTGTCTTTCATACAGGTAACAAGCTGAGATTAGAAGCAGTCTCCTAAAGGGAGTGCTGATAATCTCATTGTGTTACCTGTATAAAAGACACCTATCCACAGGAGCATACATTTCCTTCACTATATCTATATACCATCACAGCTGTCCTCTCCTATCTTCTCCCACCCATGGTTTTTGCTCCCCATCTTCATCCTTATCAGTTCACGGTACAGTGCTACAGTGGGCACTATTTTTTATATTTCTAAGCAGTACTGAAATGGGAGGTCAGCCAGGACTCCTGGAAACTGTAGTTCAAGATTTAGTGCTTAAATCAGGGGAATGCGTAGTGAGCAACCATACACAAGCACCATGTGCGAAGGATGGGAGGTTCATATTCTTTGTTTTTAATTTACCTTTTCATTTTGTTTTTCAGAGACTGGGCTCAGATATTTCAAGTTTTTTCTACACTCACTGAGGTTCTTCTTTAGTATATTGTGCATAAATGCAGGATTCAGTATAAAAAAGTAACAACCAATAACATCATAAATACCACAAGCAATAACAGCTAGAACAAGTACAAAAACAGTTCTAGCATTACAGGAGTATAGTAATAATGAGACTAACGGCAGGAACAGACAACAAATTATTCTAAACATCTGTTTTGGAAGATCAATCTGCACAACAGTTTAAAGGTTCAGTCTACCCAACAGTGATATTTCAGTTAAAGCAGAGCTCCAGGAATGATTTAGACCAGTGTTTCTCAACCTTTTTTCAGTCAAGGCACCCTTTAAAATTATGGACAGTCCTGAGGCACCCCATTCGAAAATGTGAAAAACTATTCTAATAGTTTTATATAACACAGCAACATCCACACATGTAGGACACCCAATATTAGAGGGGATTTATTCTTCCAAAGCAAATACAAACTAGTACTGAGTAGTATTTCAGTGGTTCTTTTCTCCCTCTGTTTTTCTCCTTCACTCAGCTAATGTGCCAAGGCACCTCTGAAGAAACCTCAAGGCACCCTGGTTGAGAAAGGCTGATATAGACTGCATTCTTGCACTGGTCTATATGGGCACCATGTACATTGCTGTGAAAAATGATTTTCCCCTTCCTGATTTTCTATCTTTCTGCATATTTGTCACACTTAAATGATTCAGATCAAACAAATTTTATTACACAAAGATAATCAGTGTAAATACAAAATGTAGTTTTTAAATGTTGATTTTATTTACTAAGGGAAAAAAAAAGCAATCCAAACCAGCCTGACCCTATGTGAAAAAGTAACTGGCCCCTAAACCTAATACCTGGTTGTGCTACTATTGGTGGCAACAACTGCAATCAGGCATTTGCGTTAACTGGCAATGAGTCTTTCACATCGCTGTGGAGGAATTTTGCCCCACTCTTCTTTACAGAATTGTTTTAATTCAGCCACATTGGAGGGTTTTCCAGCATGAATGGCCTGTTTAGGGTCATGCCACAGCATCTCAATCAGATTTATGTCTGGACTTTGACTAGGCCACTCCAAACCTTAATTTGGTTTTTTTTGAGCCAGAGGTGGATTTGCAGGTGTGTTTCAGATCATTGTCCTGCTGCATAACCCAAGAGCTCTTGAGGTCAGGAACTAATGGCTGGACATTCTCCTTCAGGATTTTCTCGTAGAGCGCAGAATCCATGGTTCCATCAACTATGACAAGTTGTGCAGTTCCTGAAGTTGCAAAGCAGCCCCAGACCTGCACACTACCACCACCATGTTTGACTGTTGGTAGGATTTTTTTTCTGAATGCTGTGTTAGTTTTATTCCAGATATAATGGAATGTACACTTTCCAAACAGTTGAACTTTTGTCTCATCAGTGCACAGAATATTTTGCTCAAATGTCTTGGGGATAATCAAGATGCTTTTTGGCAAATGTGAGACGAGCCTTATGGTGTTCGTTTTGGTCAGCAGTGGCTTTTGCCTTGGAGCTCTCCCATGGATGCCATTTTTGCCCAGTCTCTTTCTTATTGTTGAATTATGAACACTGGCCTTAACTGAGGCAAGTGAGGCCTGGAGTTCTGTAGATGCCAGGCTATGGGTTTGGAGTGGATAGACAGCATAACTACTGTCACACAGGGAATTGCTTCTCTCCTCCTTTTCGTGCCAGAGGGACTTTGACTGTTGGGAACCGTTTCTTGGACCATATAAGTACTTTGTTTGACTTGTTTCCTGCTACGGATTGTTAAACTGTGTCTAATTGGTAGACATCAATATCCTTTGATTGAGAGATCCTTTTTGCTCCTGTGGACATAATGCTCATGTTCTTTCCACGGGCCGACTGCAAAGTCATTGATCTCACTTTGGAGCACGATACTTTGTCTCCCTGAAGAAGTGGCTGTGTCCTGTGAAACGCGTCGCAAAACTAAGCAAAGTATCAGCTCGCAATAACGTTGCCAATCATGATATTTATTCTATCAAATGCCTGATTATGCAGTGATGTATACCAATTGTGCTGGTTAATAACAATGCAAGTTTAAGATGAATGTATCTAGTGCTCAATTCTCATTACCACAACGGTGGTTTGAATTTTATTAGTAAAGTTGTATTTGTTATACATATATTTGACTTGAATTTTGTGGTGTGGTACCTTAAAACCCCATTCGTTTTTCAGTTAGGGATTTATGTTAAATAAAAAAAAAATAAAACAGATCTGTAATTACAAAATAAGGAAATTCTTTGTTTAGACTGGAGTTCTTCTTTAAATAACCCTGACACACGACACAGATGGGCATACATATGACAGTGATGCAGAGAAGACTGACCTCGTAATGAGTTGTGATCATTTGGTTTAGCAGCGTGGACACAGAATAGAAGGAGCCGGTCATGATCCCTGCAATAAAAGAACAATTTCTTATCTTATGCCTGAATAAATATTTTGCCATAAGCCAAGGCTGATGAAGAGGAACTGCAGGTGACACTGCAAATACCGAGAACATGATTCACTGGAGATGAAGGACCAGATCCTCACCCATTTCTTCCTCTTACAGGGAGATTACAGGATGGCATTTCACAGAAATCATGTACAAACCTGCAGTTTCTATCCATGGATTATAGAATGATACAGAAACTCTGAAATACAACAATGTGGCTGCCTGATGACTAGTGTTAGGCCTATTTGTTCTCTCTTGTCTGTGTTACATGTTTATTGAATCTAGTTTATTGCAAGACATTTTGCTGTGATCAACCCATGATTACCTTCTATCTCATTTCACTCTACCCCCCATCTCACTTACTTCCCCTCCATGTTCTCTCCTATATACTGAAAGGAAAATCTATTAAGTTGTGAAAATTAGTGATTGTGGATCTCTGTGGCCACACAATCTTATACACATATAAAGTACGTTATACGTCCAACGTCATAATTTGCTACTACGTACACAATCATCACAAAAATAAAGGGTTAAAGTGGTTGTAAACCATTACATATACCCAGTGAAGTGACTGGTCTCAGGTGATACACAAAGATGAAACAAATCCTATGTAAGTTGTACCTGTTTATCTGCAATATGCTCTTCTCTACACCAGTTAAAAGTCCAGAATTTATAAAGCTTGTCTGAGTTCAGAAAAGAAAAAAAAAAAGGGAGGCAGAGCTGAAATTACACATTGCAGAGGTCAGTGAGGAGAGCTCTGAGAGCCGATTGGATGGAAGGGACACAACCCCTCCACATAGCACACAGGAACAGAGCTGAGGCTGTCAATCTGCTGGAGATCCCTCCATCACCTTTTTTCTCTTGGTGCACAAACTTGTCAGAAGTGATCCATGCTAATAGCCGAGGAATGACACAGCAGACAGAAATTACACTTAATGCTCTTAATTGAGACAAGCACGTGCTATAGAGGGATATTGCTTTGTTCATAATTCATGTCTGAGGCTTACAACAATTTTAATTGACCCATCAATGTCTAGATGATCAGGCCAATAACAGTGTGTGCCAACCTTGTGAAGACTTACAGGAAACGTTTGACCTCTGTCATTGCCAAGAAAGGATATATAACAAAGTATTGAGATGAACTTTTGATATTGACCAAATACTTATTTTTCCACCATAATTTGCAAATAAATTCTTTCCAAATCAGCCAATGTGATTGTCTGGATTTTTTTTCTCATTTTGTCTCTCATAGTTGAGGTCTACCTATGATGCCAATTACAGGCCTCTCTCATCTTTTTAAGTAGGAGAACTTGCACAATTGGTGGCTGACTAAATACTTTTTTGCCCCACTGTACATATATATTTATTTTTAATTTTTTTTTTATAAAGTTTTAAAAAAGCCTGCTGTTATTATAGGCTTACAAATATGCAAACATGTAAAAAAAAAGTTTAAATCTGTAATTGTATCTGACAATTACAGTATAAAATAGATGGCACTGCAGAGGCTACTGCAATCTGATGGGTGGGACTTAATTGGTGAGGTCATTACACTTGTAAATTGTAGGACATGAGGCACTACATGTCTATCTCTCAACCCATTTTGTAAGCACTTATTTTACCAAAAGGATGTAGTTATTGTGGTTCTACACTATGTGGTAGGCCTCTGTTCTTTCATGTGATCTGAGGAATATGTGAAATGGATTGTGGTTTGTTGGCTGCTCTGGTAAGATGCTGTGATACTTGTGGTATGGGATACTGGAGGGAGGAAGACCCCAGTCTGTTTTTATGTCACTTTGAGGAAAGAATTTTAAGGACTTTTCGCAACTTTAATTGCTCACTTTCTTGTTTATATTTATGCATGAGCATTTGTGTCACTTTTTGTATTCATGACAGATTTATGTATGATAGTTTTTCCATTCATTGTTTTATATATTTATTGATAGTTGACACAATCACACGTTGTTTGGAAGCACACCTACTACTTTTCCAGCCTAAGCCTTGGTTCACACTGCTGTGACCCTATTGTCGTGGGATTTCCAGTGTGACTATGAAGTATGACTTGATGCAACTATAGACTCTATGGGAATCAAGTTACCATAAATTTGCATCAACTTGTGCAGGAACCTTTTTAAAAGTTGCTGCACCTTGAGTCGCATTGATTGGAATGGCAGTTATTGAAATGAATGGGTTTTCACTTGCCAAGTAGCATCAGTGTGAACCGGAGCTAATGGTGGCAGTGCTCATCTGCAGGCTGAAAGCCTATATTGTCAATGACAATGTAATCGGACATGCCCAGAAGTGTTGGATTCTGAATACATTTGATTCAACAATTGATGGTAATAGAAAAACGGTTTCCGAAGTTGATTTTTATTAGCTTTGTTGGGCTGCAAGTATGTTTTCGGTTTTCTTTTTGCCTCCTAAAAATGTACACTTCAGTCAAATATGGAAAATATACATTAAAAGCAAAATTTTAGACTTTTTTTTATTTTTAATGAAAACACTCTGAAACTGCAAATTAAAAATAGAGCATGCATGCAGATTTACAAAACATTATGTATCTCCCAGCTGCTACGCAGACACAGTGCATATCTTGCTGTGTTCTGTGACCTCTTGGCTACAGCTCTGCAAGCTTCACGGCCCAGAGGTCATACGCTTTCCTCACCTCCCTCTTAATATGTAATAATTCTCCTATATTTGTATAGGGGACACAGTCAATCACTGCACAGAACAATGTGGTTCCTCCCAGTCGTGTCCTGTGTTCTCCCTTCTCATTTTTGACAGACATTTTTTAAAGCAAGTAAACACAACTCAAAAAAGGAGAGAGAAAGGACTGAGATAATTTGCCAGTTCCAGGCAAATATAAAATAAAATAATTTCTACAAATGGAATGAGTACACCACTGCCTTAGATAGTAGCACCTGAATATCACCTCTCACTACTGCTGAGGAACAGATTAGGCAAGATGTTCTATGGATAATATCAAATATGAGTACTACAAAAGGTAACAGTTCCTAACCCTGGTGCTCCTTGTGGTAAAGCTTTGTGAATTGAGACTATCTATCGAGCTAATAATTACCTCCCTTCCCCATTTGACTCAAGAGCTTTCAACCCGAAATGTCAGATAAAAAGGAGTCTATTGATAGGAGTCTCCTACTATTCTGCTGGAATGTCCAGATCTCACCTAATGCACGGGTGTCAAGCTGGTGGCCCTCCAGCTGTTGCCAAACTACAAAGTCCCATGAAGCATTGCAAGATTGACAGTTAGAAGCATGAGTCCCAAAGACAGAGGCATGATGGGACTTGTAGTTTGGCAACAGCTGGAGGGCCACCAGTTTGATACCCCTGACCTAATGTGTTTGGGCATATTTATGTGCATTCAGCAGCAAACTGTAGTGATTGTCTACAGCAGACCATAAACCATTCCCAAAACATTTATCAGAAAGTGCATTCCAAAATGAAAGCTGAACTCTAAGTGGTTGCTAGGGGTTCACTACTATGCTGTATCTTTCAAGAAAAACACAAGCAGACCAAATCAACAATGAAGACTAATGTAAACACAACAGTTATACATAGAGAGTCCATGATAGAACTGCATCTTACCATAACTAATCAGAAGAAGAACAAAGGGAACATTTTTGAAGAGATTAATGATGGAGACCTTGTAGGAGTACTCTTCAGGTGAGCTGTCCCTCAGAACGGCTTGTGATTGGCTGGGGGGGATTTTCGGCTTCTCTTTAAACACTGAAATACAAAAAGCTAGTTAAACTATCGATGCTACAGTAGATATGTCTTACTGAGTATACAATCACATTCTTATTGCTTTGCTAACAATAGCCAGATTTAAAAGTGCTAGGAAGGACAGATAAACAGTATACGAAGAACTATACCATGTCTTTCCTAGAAATTGATGTTCAAGTTCTGTTCAGCTCTTGTCTCCTGCCGGGTGTCCAAGGCACTTAGTCATATGATCTCTGATGAAGGGGATGATCAGAGTTCAGATAAGATCATATTTCGCTTCAGAAACAGATGCTGGCCATGGGTCTGAAGGCTTAGGACAACCATTCTCAACTAGAGTTCCTGTAGAGGAGGGGATCAAACTTTCTAGTCAAAGGGCCAGTTTACTGCCCTTCAGACTTTAGGGGGCCGGATTGTGGCCACTGGCAGTAGAGAACGTCCCAAAGTCAGTAGGGAAAAACCAATGAGTCATCTTTGGTGTCAGTGGGAGCAATTGTGCCCAATCATTGGTGTCAGTGGGCCCCATTGTCGGTGTCATCTGAAGGAATTGTGCCCCATCAGTAGTGTAAGTGGGGGGAATGATGCCCCATTGTTGGCATCAGTGAATGAAATAGTGCCCCAGGGGCCAGATAAAAGGAAGAAAAGAGACACATCTGGCCCCCGGGACACAGTTTGGAGACCACTGCACAGAGGTTTCTAAGGAATCTCTGAGCTTTGATTGACCTCCCATTTAATGGTACTTGCATGGTTTCAAAGCCAAAGCCACTTGACAGAGTGATATCAGAGATATATTTGGCTGTCTGTAAGGATGGCATTCAGACCTCTACTGTAAGAAAGGGGGGCTTTAAACTTGCCATGAATATATGGGACATTGTTTCCATTGACCCCAATAGAGTGGTGGCAGCAAGGGCTCCTTGAGATCTGGAAATGATTTCCAGGGTTCCACTGGGGTGAAAAAGCTGAAAATGCCTGGCTCAAGCACATGGCCTGGAGCAGCATGTTCTCTAGAAAGTTTAGATATGACCATTAGTGCAAACAGTTTAACATAGCGTCGCGTTATCGAATCCAAGGGGCTTAAAACAGCTTGGCCAACTGCTATGTTCTACAAAAAGGCAGAACTTAATCTCTGGATTAAACTGGATTTAGATTCATAGACTGGGCACACCAACCCAATTTTAACTGCTTTACCTAGCTGTGGATAAAACCAAAGCTGATCATTTAAGACAGTTCACCTGTAAAGAAACTTTGAATCATACAAAAGGACAATAGCAGTGATTTTAGGAGAAATACATACACATAAAGACGTAGTCTTCCACTACACTGAAAATGGTGTACACTTCTGGAGACCTCACTTACAAAATGATACTAAATAAGCTTGGAGAAGTCCAGAAATGGGCAACAAAAAAGGTGAAAAAGGTCTGAGGGATAAAACTGCAGGAACCTCATATGTACAATCTTGAAGAAAGAAGAGAAGAGAAAGTGGGGACATGATTGCAACTTTTAAATACATTAACAGTGTGAACACAATTTTAGAAGGAGAGTGTATTTTAGTGTAAAGCTAAAAACAAGAACACAGGAACATGACCTCAAACTAGGAGGAAAATTCAAACCAAACTGTACAAAGTATTATTTTACAGAATGAACAGACTTCCAGCAGAGGTAGTGAGTCAATTGTAAGTGAATCACAACATGCTTAGGACAAACATAGATCTCAAATCCAATAAAAAGTTAAAGAGGATTTTTACCTTCCACCTGGCTGTTTTTTGTTTTATTATATTCCTACCTTCCTGGCGTTGAGTTGTGCCAAGTTTACATACTCACCCACCTAGCGGATCCAGCACTGTCTGAGAGCCTCTTCTCTTCTGGCCGTACTTAGTCCTACGTCGCTATGATTCCCTGTGATGTCATCGATAGGCTAACGGCTGTTCTGGGTTCAGCCAGCAAGCCTCCCGATGTTGTTCTGACAGGCTTGCCCTTTCCTCAATGAAAAGCAATGCCTCCAGGGACATGTGACATGCATATCCCAGGAGACAAAGGGAGGAGAGTGCACACAACAGCCCTATAGCTGCAGAGGACCAAAGGAGGAATAGTGTTTTGAAGGGGGTGAAGATCATCAAATCTGCCCCTTCAGATTTTTTTTTTTTTTTGCAGGACCTTTTTCTGTTGCCACTCTAACTGCTGGCAGAACTGGTAGCCTCAAAAGGTTGAGATGCTCATGGCGTGTCTCAGCGTTAAGTTCTAAAACTATCAAATTTGCTCCATAGTTGTCTAATGTATCAACACCTTGGAAAGCAATTATCTATCAATAAATCTATGAGAGGAGAAGAAGAAGAGAGAGAAGAAGAAGAGAGAAGAAGAGAGAGAGAAGAGAGAAGAAGAGAGAAGAGAGAAGAAGAAGAAGAGAGAAGAGAGAAGAAGAAGAGAGAAGAGGAAAGAAGAGAGAAGAGAAGAAGAGAGAGAGAAGAGGAAGAAGAGAGAAGAGGAAGAAGAGAGAAGAGAGGAGAAGAGAGAGAGAGAGAAGAGGAGAGAAGAAGAGAGAAGAGAGAGAAAGAAGAGAGAAGAGAGAAGAGAGAAAAGAGAGAAGAGAGAAGAGAGAAGAGAGAGAGAGAGAGAGAGAGAGAGAGAGAGAGAGAGAGGAGAGAGAGAGAGAGGGAGAGAGGGAGAGAAAGAACACTATATAAAAAGGAAGACATAAGAAACTTGGGAGCTTCACGGAAATGTTTTCCATTCATTGATTTTTGTAAGGGAACAATGGGTGTCCCTGAACATGTATGTACTTAGAATAGTTCTTGTCTAACCTGTTAGACTGTGACTTTATTCGCATTCCAGAGAGAGTGACTACTCTAAACAGGCAAAGTTGGGTTTCATTGTTATTTAGCGTTTTTTTCTTAGATAAAAGATTTCTTGAAATTGAACGGTTGTGAAAAGTCCCATTTTGGTATTGCCTTTGCTGCCTACCTGCTACATGTGCACTATCCATGCATTGCAAGACACGTATATGCATCTGCCAATCAAGAAAGAGTCCCAAGGTCTACACTCTGTCCAGTGCAATTTATCACTGAAGCACTGAAGAGAAAGACAGCCTAAAACAGACCCTCTCCCCATTCTGTGAAAGTGTATAAAACTTGCTTTACCAATTTTCATTAGCAAAGAACATCAAAGAAAAAGAAATGATGGCTCACAAATCCGTAACACTGTTAAAAATTGCACACACATTGAAGTAATCCAGATTTGCTAATTTAAAATAAAGAGAGATTAACCTGAATACACAGATTATTAAAAAAAAAAAAAAAAAAAAAAAAAAACTGTCAAGATTTCTCATGAGAAGAGTTTAAAAATACTACAAGACTTTTTGCTACATAGATCATTATGAGTTGGATACGGAGTTTATGTAACTGAACATAGCGGAGACAATAATGCAAACTCTACAGCCAGCAAAGTGAAATAAAAGAATATAATTTCTATGTCAGCAAGAATCAATTACAATTTCCCATAGACATGAGATGACCGTGACTGGGTACAGCCAAATAAGAATCATATCTATGGCTAGCTGCCTTGAACAGATCCTTGAACAGTGACAGGCTGGGTTAGAGTGGATTGATTTTAAAAGGCACCACTTTGAAAGGATAGTGGTGGAAAGGATAGGATTGGTGCTCCAAACCAGCCTTTTTCAGAGTGCACAGACACCCTGGGGTAACTTCAGGATTCTTCAGGGGTGCCTTGGCAAAATACTTACAAAATTGCCCAAAAATTGTATACAAGCCAGTAGGTGGATCAAGCTTGCCTTTTTGTTACACAAAGCCACAGGTTTTCATTGTGCGCCATTACAACCTTACAGCCACTGGCATCCTAACAACCAATGACGTCATCAGTTGATAAGGAGAACGTTGAGCTTCTGCACAGCATCCTCGTTTGCCCTCTACCCTACTCCTAGCACTGGGGTCACTGAGGGAGAGAAGCTTAGGAAGAACAGAAACATTGGAATACTAGTCAGTACCAGTTTCCAATGGTATATTCGCTTTGAAAAAATAAAACACTTCCAACATTGTATGTCCTACACGTGTGGTTGCTGCTCTTTTGTAAAATTTTAGTATAGTTTTATATATTTTAAAATTAGGGTGTCTTGAGATTGTCCATAATTTTAAAAGATGCCTTGACTGGAAAAAGGTTGAAAACCATACCACGATATATGTTCATGCAGTGATCATTTAAAATAAGAGTTGTTTGGTGGTTTGATCGAATGTTTAACCTGGACAAACAGTAGATTATGGATATTTCATTATATTTTAGCCACACTGGGCAAAATTCATTTTTCTACCACCCCTCCCCTCTCACCCTCCTCTAACCCATCCTGCCAGGCTTCATGATTTGCTTACTGTGAAAAAACAAAGTATAATCATTTATGTCCCTGTCTTAGTCCTACACCACCACAGTTTTCAGGAGGGGGTAACTAATCCTGAGCTGCAATGGCCCCGAGACTGCCAGTCCCCTCCACTTATGTCAACCTTCTCCCTGATGCGGAGGGGACTCTTGCCGCTGGCCATTCAATGTGCACACCCAAAAAATTTGGACTCATACTGAAAGTAAAGAGAAGAGGAGACTCATCACATATCCACAACTACAGATGAGTAAAAGGGAGTTTTAGTGTGGTTGTCCCCTGGAACGTTTTATACTCTGCATTCAAAAATAAAAGTTTCTACAGTTTTATTCCCACCTTGTTGCCCACCCCACATGATTGATTAATTGGGTTTTAGATAGGGTTTGTGTTTTGATCAGCTGATCCACTCACAGATTCCCCTGCTGATCTCAGCAGAACGGGACGGAAGACAGGTCCATGTCCGCTCAGTTTCTGCAGAGTGGACACGAATAGACCCTATGGGTGGCTGCAAGTAAACGGACTCCCCTGTCCATTTACACCTGGCTTCCTCTGAAATGGTTTGCTCAAACAGAAAAGGACCTCCTCTAATAATTTTTTAATGGGCCTAATCAGACCAGGAGGAAGGCTA